AGTGTAGATGGTACAAGATGGTAAAAAGTCCCCATAGGTAGGATATAAACTTCATTTTTGCACAGAGAGAGCTGAAGATGGAAGGCTGCCCGTCTGGGTCCATGAGAGTGTCTTTGTAAGCTGTGCTGAGTAGCTCTTTGATGTGTTGATCAGGTAGAATTCCTTCCCTGGAGGTGTCAGATGGCACGCAGGGAGGTAAAAAAAAACTTCCTTGTTGTTCTGCAAAGTTTAAAATCCAAAATTTAAACTCTAGCAAAAGCTCTCCCAGGTTTTTATGGGCAAAATTTGCCTGAACTCACCTCCTTTTTTCTTCTGCCTTACGGGTATGCAATGAACAGCAAGCTTGCAATGCTGTTATAAAATATGTTGTTAAGCTGCTGAAAGAATTTCAGTCCTGTAGAAAATTACTTTATGGGCTCGGTTGCCCAATAATGCCCTCTTGGCTCTTGCCTCTGAGTGACATCATGATGCCACAATCTCATTCTGGGGGTGTCGGTGCATTATGTGGAGACTTTGGTGCTAGAAGAAGGAACTTAATTATGTGGACAGGCTTTCAAAGGTTTCACACATTCCCAGTGATTTCAGCAGGGGTTTAACGTGATCAGCATCTCTGACCTTTTTCCTTAGGTGCCTACAAATGAAACTTGACACCTAACTTTACGTGTACAAGTGTGACACTTCTGGCAACAAGTTTAAGAGGAGGGGTGGTCCTTGAGGTATTACAAGTGCTTCTCAGATAATTTATAGTCTTCCAAGGTTTAAGAAGTTTGTCTTCAGAATGTATTGATAGTAGGGATGTAAATACCAATTTTAAAAATATCAGTTTAATCTACTGTAATTACAACAGTTAAATGATTTATAAGTATGGCAACCACTGTCCTGGTCCATGTAGGGCTGCTCTGGCCCAGCCTGTGGGGTGCCCCTGCCCAGCACCAGCAGGGGCACTTCCAGCCCCCCCCACCAAGGTGCATCAGGGACTCAGTGGCTCCGCAGGGCCATGCCTCATAACAAAATGGGCAAGCAGGTGGGTCCTAGCCCAGGTCTGGGCGTGGACAGGGTGGGCAAGACACGCTGTAGAGGTGCAGCAGTGCTGGGCTCCAACCTATGACTGAAAAATCAGCCAGGCAGGGGAGGGCATGCTAAACCTTACTGTGGAGGAGGGGGCTGCACCCACACGCCTGGAGCAGAATGAGGAGCTGGAAACCAAAGGATTGATAAGTCCCACCAGGTAAGCAGCACTGCCCAGGAAGCCATGGGTGGCAGCAGCCAGCCAGGGGCTTTGCCAGCCCACTGCAGCAACCGGCACAGGGCTACACAAGCAGCTGCAGCAGAGCAGGAGGGAAGGGGAGGGGTGACCAGCACCTAATAGGCTCTGTGGACCCCAGTGCAGCTGCTTGCAGCTTCACCACTGCCTGCCATGAGCAGCCTGGGTTCCGTGATGGGCAGCTAGGGCCTGTCCGGAGCCCAGGCTGCTTGTGGCAAGTGGCAGGAACACTGCAAGCAGCTGTACCGGGCTCCATGGAGCCTAGCTATTAAGCATTAGTCAACCCTCCCTTCCCCTCCTCCTCACTCCTCTCTCCCTTCTCCCTGCCTCCTGCCTTGCCACCACCTGGTTCCTGTCAGGGTACCACAGGGCTTCCCTTCCCCCACTTCCATCCCAGACTGCACCCAACCTCAGGCTAAACGATAACCAATAAGCTAGAAATAGTTATCACTGGGCTGACTGGTTAAACAATTAATTGTTTAACTATTCACATTCCTAACTGATAGCAGCCAGGTGTGGAGAGTCAGAAAACATGATGAGAACCACAGGATTGAGAGTTTTGAGGTAGTGAATGTGATTAATGCTACAAAAAGCCACTGACCTGACTGTAGGATGTTTGTGAGAGCATGCAGATAGTCCAGTACTGTCCCCCAACACCAGGTACTTGAGACTGTACTCCCTTCCCTCAAAACAGAAAAGAGGAAAAGTTACTGTCAGAACTCCTAGTTTCCAGCTGCTCTCATGAACTCGCCAGTTTTGGCCAAGTTTCAGGTTTTAAAACTTCTTAGAGCAATACTTGGGAGATGCAAAAACTTATGAACTCAAACTGAAGAGCACAAATCCCTGTGAACTGAAATAACCGAGGGCCCTGGCACACATTGCACTTAGGATGGGATTAAGGTGTTTATCATGCCATAAACAGTATTCCAGATGCATATTAAAACTAGTTTATGGTGTGATAATATAGCAAACGAGACACAAAAATATTCGGTGTATATAATGCAAAACATCTTTGTGTTTTGTTTATATCACACTTTAAATTGAATGTGTGGCATGGATCTTGGACTCACTGCACCCTAGATCCTCAGCTGCAGGCCCACTTTTTTAAATTTTTGAAGTAGAGAATAGCTGCTATGGTTCCCCTTCTTTACCTGTGGCAGGTTAGGGCGTTAAGTCTGTGTTGTGTTAGGGTTGCTCATCATCTTATGTTGAGTTCAAATTATGAATTTGTATAGGATGGTTTGCATAAGGAAGATCCTGCCTCAGGGGTTAGATTAGATGACCTCTGGAGGTCCCTTCCTGACCTACTTTTCTATGACTTTAAGTTCTCAGGGTGCCCATGGAAGTGGCAGCTCCCTGTTCCCCATCTATAGGCACCACTTCATAGTTTGGCCATGAGCCACTGGACAGCTGGAAGATCCCAGCTTCCCAGCTGGCCTTTCCCCACACTGTGCTGCAGCTGTATTTTTTAAAACTCCCTGGGCACTTGGCCCCACATAATGGGGAGAGGCTCCCTAGATTCTGGCTTCTGGTGACTAGGGAGGTTTAAAAAGTGCCCTGACAGTTTCCCTGCCAAGGACTTGAAACACTAGCTCTAGCAGGGCTGCCAACAATCAGAGGCGGGGTTTAATGTCCCACAACACTGGGGACTGGAACCAGTTCTGATGCTGTCCAGGGCTGGAGCCAAAAATCAGCTGATTGTCAGCCCTAGCTGGACCTGTGGGCACTGCTCTTTCAACTCATTGGTGCTGGGGGCTTATGACCCAAGGCACCCCCTGCACTGGCAAGTAATAACAATGTGATTGGGATCTGATCCCTGATCCCAACAATTACATTCCCGGCCATACACGATGTGTAGCGTGGTAGGAGGCACAATTGTTGGGACTGTGGATCAGATGCTATCATTCCATTAAATGCATATGTGCTGGGGGCCTAAGAGGTGCACAGCTCACTTGGCAATGATGCACAAACATGTTCACCTTTTTACTCATTAAACAAGTGTGTGTTATTGCCATATGAGGCAGAGTGTACTATTCTTTGCAACGTCTATTTTCAAAAATACCTTCCATAACTGAACCTGCAAATGGTATTGTGATAAGTACTTCTGAAGGAAGGGATGAATTGAGAGCACAATTTCTCTCATGCTATATTGGTAGATGGGACAAAGCCTGGTAGAAAAATAAAGGCTCATCTGTGTTTCAGAAGAAATAAACTAACTGCTATTGATTGCTATAAATTAACACAAATGGGGCAACAGCAACATGAAAAGCCCACTTCTCTCTCTGATTTTAAATCTCTTGCAGTTCAATGTTAGTGTTGCTTGTAATAAGAATAGATGACAAGAACTGAGAGAACTGATTTTTCTTTTGTTTCCTTCCACTAACTTTCCCTGTATGGAAAATAGTATTGCTGACTTTTTGTGTAAAAACTTTCAGTTTCCCTTTCTTGTGTGGAACATTTATGCACAAACACAGCAGGAACAGAAATGTGTCTTTTGGTTGAGTTGGTGTTGGGGGGGGCCCAATGCAAAGTTAAGTTGCCATCAAAAATGGCAGAAGGTTTCTGCCACACAGTAATTTAGCAGTGAACAAAAAAGTTGTTTATTTCTATTAAAATCCTAGTGAGAAGAGCCCCCCAAATTGCAATGATTTACGTTCATGTTTATCTGCCTACCCTATGGACGTGTCTGCACGTGCGCCTTATTGCACATTAGCCTATTTTAATGTGCATTAACTAAATAACACATTTTAAGCGACACTTTAATGAACATTAAAGAGATTAATGCTCATTAAGCATCACTTAAAAACCAAGTGTGGAGGCTACTTCAACACACTGTAATTACACCGCATTGGAGCAGGCTCAATTAATGAACAAGCTTTAGTTCAAGCACCATGCTGCCATGTTGAAGCATACAGATGCTGATACATGAAACGCTGTGGCGCTTTAACTAGAGTGGCTCTTGAAGCTGTTCTAATTAAAGCGCTGCCTCCCTCCCCCCTGGAGCATGTGTAAAAGTGCCCTGTGCTCTTTAGTTAATATGCATTAAGACAAGCTAATTGTCTTAATCACAGGTACTAGATTTAATGTGCATTAACTAAAGTGCATTAATGCTTGCGTAGATGTGCCCATGGGTAGAAACAGATGTTGCCTGACAGACAGCGGCACAAATGACTAGCAAATAGACATCCCTCCCTTTTTACACCACATTAAGTGTTGTGACAAAAGGTAGTATAAAATAGTGGCGCTTTATTGCAGTGGATATCTATTTGCTCTGAAGCAGGAGAGTGAAGGCAACGCAGAGCTGCCTGCACTCTCTGGCCACCCTGGGCTCTGGGGCTTGAGTGGCCTGATTCTGTTGATGTGAGCAATCACACTGAGTCCAGGTAGGCTGTTTTGGATAAGTAAAAATATTTACAAAAGTGTCTGGAGATTCATGCCCAAAGTTGGGTCAAAAACATTAGTTTACAACATCATAAGAACCCATCCTTCATCCAAGGTTCTTCTTAGTGAAATTTTTCATATGTTGCAGTCCAGTCTGAGGATATTGGCAGGCATCTTTGGCACCAGATTCAGTTACATCAGTGTAAATTAGATCATACTGTGGCCCCTGAAGAAATGTCCCTATGCTATGCTGAAAGCCAGAGATCTCTGTATAAGACAGGTTTGTTCTGCTACAGGATATGGCTTCTGCTGATGGCGTTTGTTCACTGCTTTTCTGTGCTTTCGTGTTTTCCAGATTCCGACCTGAGTATGCGGACACTCAGCACACCCAGTCCAGCATTAATATGTCCACAGAATTCACAAGGCTGCCAGAATGGCAGAGGATCTTCCACCTCCTCATCCTCAGTCACTGGGGAGACAGTTGCTATGGTCCATTCACCTCCTCCAACTCGCCTTACTCATCCTCTCATCCGGCTGGCATCCAAGCATCAGAAGGAACAAGCTAACATAGATCGGCTCCCAGACCAGTCCATGATCCAAATTTTCTCTTTCCTGCCAACCAATCAGTTGTGCCGCTGTGCCCGGGTGTGTCGCCGTTGGTATAACCTGGCTTGGGATCCACGGCTTTGGAGGACTATTCGCCTGACAGGCGAGACAATCAATGTAGATAGGGCTCTTAAAGTGCTAACCCGGAGGCTTTGTCAGGACACACCAAATGTATGTCTCATGTTGGAGACGGTAATTGTTAGTGGCTGCAGGCGGCTCACAGACAGGGGACTCTATACCATAGCTCAATGCTGTCCAGAACTGAGGAGATTAGAGGTGTCAGGCTGTTACAACATCTCCAACGAAGCAGTCTTTGATGTGGTGTCACTGTGTCCAAACCTGGAGCACCTGGATGTGTCAGGTAACAACATAACTAAAGAAAAAATAATGTAACCTGGGTTGAGGGATTCCAGCCTGTGGATATGTGGATGTGACAGAGAGAATGCAGAGAGCTGCAGAACATAACTTGGCCCAGGTAACTGCCCAGAAGCAAAGAGCTTCTCTTTTCCCTTTATCTTCCTAGGCACTAATCTTCCTAGGCACTTTCTCGCTCCTCCGTGTATCACTGCATAGGGTGTAGTGGACATCTTTGTACTTAAGGAACTCCAAACTCTCCATCAGTAACAGGATGTTTCTCTGTCAGTAACATGATGTTTTCCTATCTTTTGAAATGTCTTCTCCCATGCTAAATCTATAGATTTATGCTCTGGTATGTGTGTAAATGCTGCATAGGTCATACACAAGCCACATGACACATTAAAAGTCTCCCCAGTCTGTACCTCTGCCTCATCATTTTAACTTCCTCTAAAAACTCAGCAGTGGCAAAAATTAAACACAAAATCAGTTTTGGCACAAAAGATTGAATGCATAAGATTTAAGCAGCTGGTTTCTTATTGTCTCTTTCAGTTGGGGGAAGGATGTTTAGAGGAGAGTTCATTTTAAGAAATGCAAAGTATTAAACTTATACATTTCACTGCAAAGATCCCTGAAGAGAAGATTTTAAAATATTGATGTAGAGGAGGCAAAAAGCTGCAGGCTAGGATTTACCTGTGATTAAATATCACGTAACATTTGGAATATGTTTCCACTCTATTTATTCTCTTGTAATACTCCATTAGCCAGCACTTATCACTTGTAACACCTTAAGGCCAAGTCCAACTGAAAATGTTCTGTCCAGTCTAAATAAATGCTGGGGTTTCCCTTGTTTCTACCGGGTTAATGAAAAGGGCCCTTGACAGTCTGTCTCTACCAAGTCCACTTAGTGGAAAAGTTTGCATAAGGGTCCCTGCAAAACTATAACTAGAAATGTGAAGTGCTGCTTGGTTTTTTTCTTTGATTTCAACAATACCCTGCTGAGCTGAAGTCCTAAGCTTACTATACTAATGCATGTCAACCAGGAAATACAAGCAACCAGAAACAGAAATGAAAGAAGTGTTATTTCATTATCCAAACTGAGTCATCTGTAAGAAGTAAAAACAGGTTCTTATGTGGGACATGAATCCATTAAGTCCTGAGTATTTCAGCTTGGACTAACTTCAGTGGAAATTTAAAGGCTTCCAATCCTCATTCAGTGCAGAGTCAAGGCCATTGGTTTCAATTGAATTTTAACTGGCTTGCACATAAAAATCTTTAACTTAATTAAAGCCAGTGAAGTCACATCAGTGAGTCTGGCAATCAGGTTTGAAGGATCTTTTAGTCAGGTCTTGACTTCAAGATTTGGCCTGCACATCATAAGTGTTGAAAAATTAACAGAATTTTAAAATTGGTTCAATACAACCTAGTGTCATGTTTATTTTTTAATAGTATCTTCTTACACAATTAATACAAAACTAGTCAGAGGTAAATGAAACTTGAAAGCAGAAAGAAAAGAAAACTTGAGTCTTTTCAGGTGTGTGGGGTACACTTTCACTCAGTATTAAAATAGATGGAGTGTTCTAAAGACCAAGAGCTATGTTTACATTCTCTGACCTCCAAAGAGGTGAGATTGTCAAAGAATCAAAAACAGTCTTGTTCTACATTAGTGTAAGAACTGGAGAGAAGACTGATATAATCTCAATTCTCTCCCTCTTTATTTTCTTCAGTATGAAGGTGAAATAACTTCTTTGTCCTCCATAGAATTACACTAATGCAAAAGACAAATTCATTGATTTGCCTAAAAATAAGTCTAGGAAGAGTTTTAATAATTATTTCTAGTAACATGGGTAAGAGTATTTTTAGCTCCGATTTCTAGCCAGACTGTACAGGTTAAATAAAAATACACATTCTTAACAAATCTTGATTTTTATCTTAACAGGATCTTAAGGATCACGTCAGGGGGGCCATTCTATTACTGCACATTCATTTTTAATTGCATCATTTGCTTACTGTTGAAGGTGCATCAAAAAAATGAAAGCACCCATACAATACATGTAAAGGTTTACATTAATTTGGCACATTGCAAGAATTTTAAAACACCTGCTACTTGTGGTTTTGGTTATTCTCACAGATGACAAAAGAATGATATCAGGTTGCTTGAAAGCTCAAAGGATCCCAGTAATAATCCATTTGATGTGATTTCCATACATGTCCAACTTTTGACATAGGTGAGAAGAACCAGCATGAGCCTGAAGTCTGTGAGATCCACGATTTTGTGGCACTTTATTAAAATCATGAGTTGGAAATAGTGACCTTCTAGAAAGCCTGGTCAGATCATGCAAGCATCCTTGCTTCTCCTGGGAAAGCTAGCTACAAGAGTCCTTTAACCAGTCAATGAGTTTTATTCTGTTGGTTCAGTTTCATTGAAAACACCAGCTTTGAACAGAGCGAATGTTACACCAGTTAGAAAAGAAGGGAAAAGGATTGCCACCAAGAAGCATGTGTCAACTGAACTGATGCAGCTGTTTGGTCCATTTGTTCCCATCCCCACATAAGTAGCCCTAAACTCTTCTACTTTTCAACTTGAATAAAACATTTAAAGTTAGAGAGGTTTGGCTTCACTTCCTTCCACATGAAAAGAGACAGAGAAAAATCTTATGTCAGTTCAGTGTGACAAACAATTAAACTGGTATAATTGTTTTGTCTGTCCACATCCTCACTCCTTTTGGTAGGTAGACATATCATGCAACCTAGCCAAGGGAGATTTATGGGTGAAGATTTTAGAAGCTGAAGTTTTGTCCAGTTATCTACACTGCCAAAAAGTTCTATGAGGAGTCCTGGTCCAAAACCTTTCCATTCTCCCAGTGGTAGAGTGAATTGTATATGCAGTCCTATGCTAAGATCACACATCTCCTGATTTAGTAAACTGAGAGCAGAGATTAAAATACTAGAATTTCTAGCTCTAATATTGACTCCCACTGGAATTTTGGGAGTTTCCAATCACAATTCCCAGCTAACTGCTAAGTCTTAAAAAGACACGAAACAGCCTAAGGGCATTAGGTGTCCATCTCCTCTATGTTTAAGGTCTGAATAGGGGGTGCCTTTAGACTGTGGGGAGACTGCTCTGATGCCCTGTAATTACAGCGTGTTGAAACAGACTCGATTAATCAAATCTGCTGGAGCATGCTAATTAGTATGCCTCCAGCAGCCTCCACATCTCATGAATGAAAATTTTGAAGTGCAGGGGCACTGATACACAAGACACTACAGGTGGTTAAATTAGAGCAGCTTTCAGAACAGCTCTAATTACCCCCCACACACACTCCTAGCAGGTGTATAAATGCCCAGGGAGTACTTATAACTCCTTTTTGGGCACTAAAGCTTGGGTTTGGGGTCTGGGTTCTGCAGTTTCTGTCCTTACAGTCACATGTTATTATTTGTAAAATGGTCTTTCCCTCTATTGCTGTGTGAAAGACACAAACAAGGTGGAGAAATGGAATTTGACAGCACAATATGAAGCCAGTTTCCCTTTTCCCCCAGTATTGTCTAAGGAACCAGTAACCGTCTTCATACAAGAAAGAAGTTAAACTGTTTTTGATAAACTGACAACTTAACCATGAAGCTCTACTTGTCCGTAGCATGCAATAGTGTACATTTAGTTTCTTTGTTTTCAGTTGCCCTTTAATGTAATACGCATGGATATAATGTCATAATTAGAAACTCCCCCTCCTACCTCCTTCCGCTTCCCCATAGGGCATATGAGTAAAGTTGGAAATGCACATTTTTCTGAACTGACTTCATCCTGAAAGGGGCCTTGATGCAAACACCCTACGACTTTAAATCCAGACCTTAAGCCTGTCTATGTTTCAAAGTTCAGGAGAATTCAGCTCTGGGAGTTTGAATCCACTTGCAGTTTAACAATCAAGCTAGTTTTTACCTAGGATGTTTTTGAAAGTGCTTTGATAACAATATCCTGTTTTTCCCCTTCCCTTTTCTGACTATAATTTTTACCTCCTCTTCATTGTGAGCCTGTGGTTCACTAAAGGCTGCTTGGGAAGCTTGCCAGCATGTGTAGTGATGATCTTTGAGTAACTGTATTGTTCAGATAATTTGCACACTGTGCTCTACTTGCTGGCATGTGCTTAGGGAGTGGAATACATCAAAATAAACCAAATGTTACCTGATAGGGCCAGAAATCACCTCAGATGATTATGATGACATGATGGTTAATGAATGGGTAGCCCTGCCCTCTGCTGAAGAGAAGGTCTGCTCAGGTCCTGTCTATTTCTACAGAGCTGCACCAGCCCTGAAATGTTTGGAGCATAAGGTATGTGCAGTGCAGATCCCCTTGTCCCACATCAAAACCAGTGTAGTCCTTTCATTAGTTTCTATCTCTCTTTCCATCTCTTTTCTTGCAAGTGAGATAAGTCCTTCCCCACTTTGTCCTAAGGACAGGTAGCTCCCTACTAATACCTGGGTCATCAGGTATCTACTGCAACGTCTCCAAGGAGGCCATTCCAGAAAAGGTCTTGACTGCGGAAGTGCTAGAGTGGGTAACCAGGATTTTGGGGGAGATGGAGAAGGAAAATATGGTTAGGCTATTCAGGTGACCTGTCAGGGACTGGACAGTGAGGAAGCCTAAGCTGTGAAAACAGTAGCTCTGCTTGCTCAGCTCCTGTCATCTCTTTAAGCAATGTTATCACCACCTCATTCCTGTCCATAATCCAGACACCTTCTCCCTCCTGGATAGTTTTCCTCCATTTTCTTGGGTGTTTTGATTTCTGTGTTTGGGGTTTTTTTTCTTTGCAAATAGAGTAAGATGTGATCTCTGCCCCAAAGACCATACACTCAGAATAGAAATAGCGCTATTTGTAGGTCTACATAAAGAGCATTGAGATAGGAAATCTTAGCTTCTGGCCAGCCCCTGTACAGAAGAGAGGGGGCACAGTCTTAGGAAAAATGTAGCCTAAAATAATGAGACTACTCATATTCAGGTCTTAGCGGCAG